GACCTGTATGTGTATATGTATATATATATACATACATACATACATACATACATACATACATACATACATACATACATACATACATACATACATACATACACACACATACATACATACGTATGTGTATATATATATATATACCCAGATGCCTGGACCTGTATGAGAGGAGGTCCAGACATCGGGGGGTCCAGGAGAGGTAGGACCTGTGTCCCCCAGGACAGGCTTCGTATCCCAGGACCCAGATCCCCCAGGACCTATATATATATATACACACACACATTTATATGTATATCTACACATATATATATATATATATACATATATATATAAATATGTATACATATATATCCCCAGATGCCTGGACCTGTATGAGAGGAGGTCCAGACATCGGGGGGTCCAGGAGAGGTAGGACCTGTGTCCCCCAGGACAGGCTTCGTATCCCAGGACCAAGATCCCCCAGGACCTATATATATATATATACACACATTTATATGTATATCTACATATATATATATATACATATATATATATATATATGTATACATATATATCCCCAGATGCCTGGACCTGTATGAGAGGAGGTCCAGACATCGGGGGGTCCAGGGGAGGTAAGACCTGTGTCCCCCAGGACAGGCTTCGTATCCCAGGACCCAGATCCCCCGGGACCTATGTATATATATATATGCGTGTGTATATACAGTATATACATATATACACGCAGGTCGGAAGAAGTAGGTAAAAACATGAAGTAGGAAGGCGTTGGAAGTAGATTGGGCTTCCACCCGCCCCCTCAAGAGGAGGAAAGAAGGAAAACCGCTCGACTCTTGAAGAAGGAAGGCGCCCAAAGTAGATTAGGGTTTGGGCATCCAAAAATACCTACTTTCAACGACCGGCGTGTATATATATATAGATATACATACATATATATATACATATAGATATGTAGATACATATATATGTATATCTATATATATATATATAAATGTGTATATATATATATATATCCCCAGATGCCTGGACCTGTACGAGAGGAGGTCCAGACACCCAGGGGGCCCACGCGGTGCAGAAAATCACCACGCCGAGGAGCTGGGGAGAGAGCCTCGCGGCGCAGCGGCTGCTGCAGCAGGAGAGGGGGGGCGGGCGGGCGGGAGGGCGGCGAGGGGCCCCGCGTCTCCAGCGTCGGAAGAAATGTTCTAAGCATGTTTAAAGCATGTCTTTTACGTGCTTAAGACATGCGTAGCGCATGTTCTAGACATCTGGAACTTAGTTGGTAACATGCTTCCTCTCCATGGATCGCCCTCCACAACTGTAGAGGGGACAGGCCCGACTTCGTCGGGAGCGGCCAAGAGGGGGGCGTCCAAGAGGGGGGGATGCAGATCATGGCCGGCGGCATGTGCGCGGCCCAGGGGGGGGGGGCCAGGGACGTAACGCAATGAGAAGAGGCGCCACGAAACCTGGGGAAATACCATGGCCCCCGCCATGATATCCACCCCCCCCCCTAGTCATCAGCCCCCTCTTTGCCACCCCCGACCACAGCGTGGACCCCCGGAGGTCTGGGCTCCCTCTTCCCCGGGACTGGCGCGTCCTCCCAAGCGGTTCCTGGCTGACCCACGCGGGGGTCCAGGCGAGAGGGAGTGGTGCAATAGGCTTGGGGCAAGTGTATTGCAAGTGTACTGCGCCAGATCTGTGTATTGCTCTGTATTGCAACGAATGCATTGCACGCGAAAGTCCAGCAATACGTTTGCGTCAACCATTTTGAGGCAACCTAATAATTCTTTGACGGTCCCGGGGGCTGGCGAGGGCCCTCGGAGGCCGAAAATCGCCCGAAACCTCCCTCTTACCTCTTCCTCCCCTCCTGTTTCACCCCTCCCCTCCCGTGCCCTCCTCATCTCCTCCCCCGAAAATTCCTGAATTCAGGATCCCAGAACACTTGGATCACGATCCAAGTGTTTCCTCGCCCGGGAACACTTGGATCACGATCCAAATGTTTTCTAACTAGGAATACTGGACAGCCCCAGAGGAGAGACTCGGGGAGGAGAGTCGGGGAGGGGAGTCGGGGAGGAGAGTCGAGGAGGGGAGTCGGTGAGGAGAGTCGAGGAGGGGAGTCGGGGAGGAGAGTCGGGGAGGAGAGTCGGGGAGGAGAGTCGGGGAGGAGAGTCGGGGAGGAGAGATCAGAGATCGCACTCCTCGGCGGTCCTCTCCGCTCCTCCGCACTTCTCCCTCGACACTCCTCGGAACTCCTCCCTCGGCACTCCTCCCTCGGCACTCCTCCCTCGGCACTCCTCCTCGGCACTCCTCCTCGGCACGCCTCGGCACCCCATCCTTCGGCACTCCTCCCTCGACACTTCTCCTCGGCACTCCTCCCCGGCACTTCTCGGCACTCCTCGGCACTCTTCGGCACTCCTCGGCAGCCCTTGGCATTCCTCGGCACTCCTGGGCACTCCTCGGCACTCGTCGTCGTCGTCGTTGTCGTCGTCGTCGTCGTCATCGGTTGTCGGCCCTCCTCCCCACCCATTCCCAGGCGTCGCCGCTGGGCGTGCCACTCGCACCCCCCTGCCGAAGTTCACCATTGCAAACTCTTGACGTTTCGCGTGCCCCCATCGTGGCCTCCCGTAGCTTCCACTTGCCGTCCCATCGTGGCCCCCAATCGTGACCCCCCGTCGTGGCCCCTATCGCACTTGTGTACAAACTGTTTAGGGTGTTCTGCCGCAAAGGTGCTAGATTCAATCCGCATCTTTGGGGGAATCCCGATCGTGTCGAACGGCACGAGGAAGGTGAAGAGGAGGAGGGAGAAGGCAAGAAAGGAGGAAGGAACGAACGGACGATGACAAGGAGGATGAGAAGTCGAGCTTGTGCGACTTGTTGTTGTGGACGGTTCTTGGAGGACTCCGAAGACATCCTCGCAATTCTGAGCTCGGGGATGCCCTGCCCCATGGTGGTCCGGCCACTTTCGCCCGAGACATCCTCGCAAATCTGGTTCCAGGATGCCCTGAAGTGAGATGGTCCGGCCCCTTTCGCCCGAGACACCTTCGCAACTCTGCCCTGCGAGATGCCCTGCCCCATGCTGGTCGGGCCACTTCCGCCTGAGACATCCTCTCAACTCTGACCTCGGCGATGCCCTGCCCAATGGTGGTCGGGCCACTTTCGCCTGAGACGTCCTCGCAACTCTGGGTTCCGAGATGCCGAGCTCAGGTGGTCAGGCCACTTTCGCCTGAGACATCCTCGCCACTCTGGATTCCTACACTCCCTGAGCCCAGGTGGTCTGGCCACTTCCGCCTGAAACATCCTCACAATTGGGTCGACGATGCTTTTTCACCGGCGCCAGAGCTTAGAAAGGATTACCTGACCAACTGAGGGCACTGGGCTGCCACGAGCGTGGGCAGCCTGCTGCAGCGAGAGTGAGCACAGTGCGACTGCCCTTTGAAAAAGGTGAAGAGGAGGCGGAGGGGAGGAGGAGGAAGCAGCGTGACTTGAGCCGTAATCATTACGGACAAGTGGCACCTCACAAAGCCTCTAGACCCAAATCTACCAGTAGTGCAAGGTCGACGATGCTTTTTCACCGGCGCCAGAGCTTAGAAAGGATTACCTGACCAACTGAGGGCACTGGGCTGCCACGAGCGTGGGCAGCCTGCTGCAGCGAGAGTGAGCACAGTGCGACTGCCCTATCCCACCTTATGTGCTCTGGCTATAGTCTTGGCCAGCAGTGAGCAAAGGGCGGGAGGGTAGGGTTCAGCGCGCTTTGTCCAAAAGACTCCAGTGGGGTCTTTGCCCTCCAACGCCCAGTGTGGCAACTTAGTTCTAGAACAAAGCGACGTAGTACATTTTCGTGTCAGCGAGCTGAGGCCAGGGACAGCGCCAACAAATTTTGTGGCTTTCCGCCAGCGTTCTCCGAACATACAGAAGTCAAGCCGAGCGGTGGAAAAGTGCAATTCACTGAGCAACTGCATGAATTCGGGAATCACCCACAAAATTGACGTGAGAGGATTCTCGATCGTAACTGTGATACCTTTTTTCGCAGCTAATCGACAGGCTTTGATCACAAAGGCAATGAGCTTATTAGCAGCAACAACTTCGCAGAGGCCCGCGCCCTCCAGGTCGGGGTATCCCCAAGGAAAAGTGTTCGACCTGAGAGGGGGAGGACCAGAGCCTCCGGGGCGCCGAGCTCGCGAGAGGGTCTGACAGGGCAGCGCAAAGTGGAGATGGCAATACCTACGATGACGGATGCCCCTCATCAGTCTGTCCTGGCTACTTGGGAGCGTGAGGTCACACGACGGTCCGTCTAGTATGTCCCAACCTTCACACGGAATTCCCCGACGAGCGAGCGCCTTGGCTAGCCTCCCGGAGCCTGCAAAGACCTCTGCCGCTTTCCGACTAGGCGACGGCCTATCGTCCGAGGAGGTCGGTTGAGCTGCATAGAACGTCCATGGAGCCACTCGTCGAGGCACTGCACGGCGAGGCGGCTGTAGGTCAGGGTGTCCGACGGTGTGCGGTTCATCGCCTGCTGCACCTTCCCAAACTTTTCGTAGCGTCTGACGGAGTTGAACGTCTTCCAGCCCCCGCGCTTCTGGATCTCGGAGAGGTCGCGCCTCCTCAGCATGGCATCCCTCGACGCGCCTCCGTGCCTCACCTGGTACGTGCAGAGCTGCTCGGCGGCCAGCCCGACGAGGCCGGCGGCGTTCTCGAACGCCTCCTTGCACTGGCTGATTGACAAAGAAGACAACAAAAACAAAGAACAACAGAAGAGAAAACAAAAAATCAACATCAACACAAAAAAAACACAAAAAACAGGCATAACAAAAAAAAAAAAACAAACGCAAAAAATACAAAACAAACAAAAAAAAGAAAAAAAAGTACAAAAACACAACAAAAAAAACGAACGATAAAAAAGAAAAAAAAGACAACAAAACAGGACACAAAAACAACAAAAAGAACAAAAGATAAATAAAAAAAATTAGAAAACTAGCAGACCTACAAGAAAAAAGACAAAATAAAGGCGGAACAGCTTCTCGCTCGGGTCCCGCCCCTTCGCCAACTGCACCAGGTGGGATGAGATGTGCGCGTCCAGGTCCTCGACCGAGACCGTGTCGTCGAAGCTCCCCGTCTTGCGCGGCTGCCCCCTCTCCTCCGGCCGTATGACCAGGCAGAGGCGGTGGTAGCCCCGGAGGCGGGGCGCAGGCAGCACCACATCCCCAACCTGAAGGTCTGTAATCTCCCCAGGTCGGGAATATGCATCGTGGGCCGTCAGCAAGCAGAGGGCCGCATCCCGCCGCTTCGCGGCCAGCAAGGTCCCCGCTATGGCGGCCGTCCATTCCCAAGGCAGCCCAAAGCGAGAGGCGCCGGGGGCGGCCTTGCGGAAGCCCCTCAGCGCCCTCCTCATCCGCGTCAGCGGCAGGGCTAGAGGGCGAGGGCCTCCGCTCCTCATGAACTTGAGGGCCCCGAGGAGCCTGTCCCCCGACGACGCCTCGTAGCCCTGCAGGTAGATCGCGTCCAGGTAGTCGACCGCCGCCGCGTCCACGTCCTCGTCCGAGTGCAAGGAGATGCCCTCGTTCGCGGCCCACTTGGCGAACTCGGCATAGGTCGCTCTGTATGTGGCCGCCTGCTGGGGCTGAACCGACGCCTGCTCCAAGATACTGAGCTGGTGAGGGTCCCTCTTGAGCAGGAGCGGCCCGGGAGTCACACCCCCCGCTGGGACAGCGTGCCTCGCCCTCCGAACCTTGGCACGGTCCTCCCGCAGACGGCGACTCCGCTGCGCCGACGGGTGGTCCCTCGGCGGCTGAAGCAGGCCTGCCACCGGCGGCGCGGCCGATCTCGATGAGCTCGTCGATACTGCAACGACGGACAACACGCCCTCCGGTGGCGCTGGGAGCCGCCTGCGATGGGACGCGGGCCCCGCGGGCCTCAGCACATGCACTTGTGTTGCCTTCGTTGGAGCTGGCGTCCGAGTCGGTGCTCGGAGCATCGATCGTGGGAAACTCTTCACTGCGAGCCAAGTGGTTACAGGTAGAAGAAGATGAAGGGAAAGAGTTACGTCCGTGGTGTGTCCGCTGCGGGACTGAGGGTTCGAACATCCGAGAAGGCGCATCAGCATGATTAACTTCAGACACGATCCAACGCCATTTGAACTTGCAATTGAGGGCGACCGTGTAAGCCGCAACACTTCTACAACAACCCAGCATACGATAATCCCCACTGCGCCCCTTGGAGAAGGCCAAGATGGAGCCCATGGAGTCCCCGAGGATGAGGTGCTTCTTGTTGCGGTTCCCAACAGACCTCCCAAGAGACTTGCAAACCAATCTCCCAGTACGGGCCTCCAGCAGGGTGATGTGCTCGTCCCGAAACCAGGGCTTTGACAGGATGGTGTGCCAGGAGTCCTTCTCGAGCATCTTTGTGGAGACCTCCGGGAACCCGCGCCTTCTCTTCCAGGGACGAGGGGGCGGCGGTGCGATAGGGAGTACTGTTTCAACATTTTCGATCACATCTCGGAAGTGCCAGAGAGCTCCCGCACGCACGCCCCTCGCGAGCGCATGAGGCTGCTTGAAACGCCACCGCTCGTTGTACTGGCCAGTGCCGGCGATGAGCTTCTCGTCGAAAACGCCCTGGACGATCCCAAGGCCTGTCTCCGACGAGTCGAACATGTGGGCCGCGGGGCTCCACGGCCGACGCAGGTTGGTGCGAGCAAAACGGACTAGAGCTGACAGCCACTCGCACTCCCGCGCGGCTGACTGCCACAAGCGGACCTTCTGCTTATAATGCACCCTGACAAAGCGATAGCACGCACCAAAGATGCTCAGCAGCGAGCGCTCGCCCATGAGCTGAAAAGTGCAATGCCCCAGGAAGCGCTCAAGCATCACGCCTGTGATCCTGGGGCGGCGCGCAAGCCATCGGCCCGCGGCGGCCAGGCGGGCCGCCCTCTTGGCGGTGGGCCCCACCTCGCCAGTCAAGCCGTCGATGGCGAAGCCGAGGCTCTCGGCCCAGAGGGAGGCGTCCTCCTCCTCGTGTACTGCGAAGCCGTCGGCCGTGAGCTGGCGAGCCACTGCGATGCGGGCGCCGTCGGCAAGCTCCGGGGAGCCCGCCCCGGTGGCGCGGTTGTCGCAGTAAGGCAAAGACACGAGGCCGCGGGCGCCGATCGTCGGACCAGGCCGGCGATCCTGAAGTACCAATCCAGCCGTGTCCGGGAGCACCCCCTTGACGACGGAGGAGTGGACGATCTGTGCCAGATAGAAGCTCCAGCTGAATCCCATGGGAAGCACTCGGAAGGCGGGCGCAACGGCGTCGCGCCCGTAAAGATGGCTGAAGCGGCTGTCGTTGCCCTCCAGCTCGGAGACGAGCCAACCTGGGACGTCGTCGAGGCAAAAGTAGCTGGAGAGGTCATCGTCGATGCCGCAGGCGTAGAAGTAGTCCTTGATGTCCGA